CAGCTCTTGATGAATTTTATTTGAAATTAAAAATAGTTACTTTGCTGTCTGAGGCTGTAGAACACTGACTGGAACATTCCGGTACCCTCCACATCTTTCTGATGTGAGACATCTACGTACGTCACGGCTCCAGAACCATCCGTGTCTGAAGTGTGAATCGTACCTCAACAATTAGTAATAGAAAGACAGAAACAAAGAGAAAGAGAGGATAAGAAGAAGAAGATGTGTCCCGGTGCGCTGTGGGACAGCGGGGTAGGATCCAGATTAGCCCTGTGTCGGGGGAATCTAATGCAATTATGAGTGTTTGCCTACACCATGTGTCCCCTTCTGTCTGCACAGAGCCAGCAGGGACTGAACCCTCCGGCATCCTTTCTATTCACTTCTGCTGTTTGTTTTCAGTATTTACACCCACACCACCGCCCGCTCCATCCCCTCCACCCTCTTCATTTTTACCCCTGCCTTCAATAGCACTAATTAAAGTAAACCAATAAGGCTGTAGGGGCCGAGGGGGCAGAAAATAAGGAGTGTTTGAAGACCAGATTGAACTCTACCAGCAACTCAGAAGTCAAAAGACACACTCTGGAGGGGTGTGTTTCTCTGTGTTTGTCGCTGTGTGTGTGTGTGTGCTAATAATAATATACATTATTTATAAAGCAGAAAAAGAAATAAGGCCACATAGGGAGACGGCAGGTTTGTTTAGCAGATTAGTGGAGCCAGTGCTTATTAGCTTTAGCTCACATTCCCTCTTATTTGCCCTTTTCTTCCAAGACACAAATGTCAGCAACCAAGAAGAAGAAGAGCAGCTGGATTATAATTGATTGATAATTGATTAGATATATTCGTACGAATTAATTTTGATTTTTTTTTTTTTTTGAGTTGTAATCCAATGACACACAAGCAGTTTTTGCTAAATCCTCAATGATTTTAATAACTACATAGACATTTCTGTGGTAACTATACACTGCATTGTTTGCTAATGTTTAGATGTTCTTTTCCTAAACTTCCTAAAAGCTTTTTCACAAATATGTAATGCCAACTTTAGGCAAACTCTAGGCAACATTTTATTAATGTCATTTAGCTAATCCCTGGCTAATGATGCAATCTAATGGATATCCATGTCTTGGACATGTTCAATGTTGTGTCTTTTGGCTAACCTTTAGCTGTTAGCGTTTAGCTTTATAAAACCTTTGTGATTTATTTCAGGCTAACACTTTTGGCTTACATAGACCTGATTTTGAGGACAGTATTTTCCCCCGTTTGGTTAGGGACGTTGGGACTCTACATTATAAGCACTTAGTTCCAGTGAGAAATAAAAAAAAACAGTTCCAAAGAACTGTCTGCTGTTTATTTTAGTGATGATGAGTTGATATGAAGTGGTTCCACAGTGAAGGGCTTTTGTTCGAGCCCCAGAGGAACCACATAGTCCTAGTATGGCCTCCCATGTGGCAGCCTCTGAGTTACAACCACATATTTAATGGCGCCTCCTGTGGCAGCCTGTGTGAGTTGCAAAGACTCACACTGTAAATTTCCCAATTGTGGGTCGAACAGGGGACTCAATAGTTATTATTAACTATATTGGGCCACATATATTTTCTCAGTTGCACTTCTACAGCTGAGGTTTGTGTTTTACTTCTAAATTAAATATTATGGTGCCATTAATTTACGTCACAAACATCAGGTATTGTTCAGTGTGCAGGCATTTTATTAGCCGTTTGGATGGAGAATCAATGCCTTGTGATATTATTTTGTATTAAAATGTCAGATATTGCCCTTTGCAGAATTTGTGACGGGGGCAGTGGTACAGTTTGACTTTCTTATTTTGACTGCACCCTGGGACACAGATGACATTTCATTTCTGTGTATTTAGTGCCAAAGCTGATATTCAGCTAATCTAACCCTGCTCCTGTTTGCTCTCAGGGATTTGGAAAGTAAAGGCAAACATGAAGCACACAGAGGCTGCTGTTAAGACCAAGGGCAGGAGGAGACAGAGTTTTGGTTGAGGAGCCGAGTGTGAACTGTTGGTTCTCTCAGTGTGAAACTGGGAGAATATTGGCTCTGTCCAAAAGTCCTACGATTAGGAAAAACATATTTGATGTTCAGTCTAGTGCTGCGAGTCAAAACGTGTGTGTTTGACCTCTTGTAAGAATCACATAAATCTGTCTAGCCTTACTTATTTTTACTTTATCGTACACAGTTTCACTTTTTCATACCTATGTCAGATAATATGAGTAATATCTCGACAAGGATAAACAACAACCTTTTATAATTGGACTCTTACCATGGTGTTGCTATGAGACCAGTTGGGGCAACATTAAGTGCTAGAAGTTAGCAAAAAAAAATACAAAAAAGCTAGATTTTGCACATATCTATTTTAGAATGAAAACTGTAACGTTTGTAAAGACAGAACAGAGTTATTCAGAAGTTGTATAAATAAGTCCTAAGAGTGTGGGTATAAAGTACGTCAAGAAAAAAACATGATAAAGATTTGAGTCACCGTTGTTGTTAAATCTCTA